GTCGTCCCTTGACTGTAAAGTTGCAGTAGTCTTCCACTACATGTAGCCAGTCGTGCCGAGTTTGAATGTACGGCGTGCCCGACGGCTCAAAGAATTCGAACGCGTAGCGCTGGACACGGACGCATACGGATTGTCGCCACACACGAGGTTCAGTATCGTACGGTTGACGTCGTTATACCATCGCCCGCCTAGAAACGCCTTCATGTTCTGCGCCAATGCGACACCGTTCTCGACTGTGGCTTCTCGTTGGAATTTAAATCGATTTCATTGGCTAGTTCAGATGAGCTCAAAATTATTAGCCAATCAAAACCCATTTCTCAATGAAATTCAACCAATCAGATCGATTGTGGATCGGTTTGGTCGGCGCGATTATTCGATTGTATTATATCGACAATATTACAACCAATGCTTCCATCCAGAAAGTAGGTGGCTGGCATGTACAAGAAATACACTTGCTCTAAGTTACCATGGTACATGTTTCTATGGCTATGAACGTCGGGGGTACTGCTTGTGCACCCACTCGGATACTACTACTACTACTAATATATATATATATATATATATATATTAACTACTACTATTAATATATATACATATATATATATTAGCAGATCGTTACAACGTGCCCGTGGTCAAAAAGTGCGCGAGCAGGCGCTCCATGGCGTCGATCTTGGGCGTGGGGGTCTGCGTGGCCGTGTATCCCAGCAGACACCGCGCAAACACAAACGCTAGTCATAATATTAATAAAAATATAAACCACAAATCCGTACGTACCCAGCTTTGATGCGTGGAGCAAGTTACGAGGGGCGTGCGCCAGCACTTCGCGCAGAAACGACATGACGTACATAAACACATTGTAATGTACGGCCGTGAGTGCGTCCACTACCAGTACATCACTCGCCACGCTCGCCTCGGGCACGACACTCTCCCGCAGCGTCTGCAGCCAGTGCACCACCAGCGCCGCCATCGATTGCGGACTAGTAAACAAACAATATTGTGCTTTGCAGTCAATTTTGCCATATTTTGGGGATTGATGAAATCGCCAACTACTCAAGAAATGGACGAGTATGATTGGCTACAAAGAATGAAGGTTGCAATTTGATTGGATAAAAAGATTGATTGTACGATTGCAGGCACAAAGATACCTCTTCAACATAGTTTTATATGCAATTTTAAAGGATGTTGGGCAATTATTCGGCGGTTCATTCTACGAACCGCCAACGGACGAAATATATCTTGAGTCGAATAGAAGTCAGGATCGAAGGAATCACTCATGGCTGGCAAGTGTCCTTTGTTGACTAGTATATATACAAATACTAGTATATACACATGTATAAATACCACATACGCAGCGTATATATATATACTACAATGTAATGTACATACATATAGATAATAATGTATATATTACAATGTACTAGTAATGCATATACATATAGATAATAATGTATATATTACTACAACAACGTAATGTACTGTATATACATATAGATAATAATGTATATATTACTACAACGCAATGTATATGTATATATAGATACATAATGCAACGCAATATATATATATATATATATAGGGACAATCACGTACCGGTGCACTGGAAAAGGGGCGCCCGTGTCCAACGCCTCCCGCAGCACCGCCGCCTCTGACTAGATCCAAATTAAATAGTTATATACAAGCCCACAACAATTGTTTTCATCTACCATGGGAAAAATAGATAATCCTTCAGAATCATAGTGTAATATATACTTAGTCATATATGCAAAACAAATGGCAACATATATATATATATTTACATTCAACAAACAAACTTGAAAAGAAAACACACCCGACGATCCAAATTTCACCAGTCAGTCATGTGGACAGACCTATTTTCCATGCCTTCACACATCTCTTTGACGTGGGTATATATTTTGAAAAAAAAAAATATATATCCCCATCACAATACATATATATATAGATCGCTTTCGTACGAGATCCGTGTCGACAAAGATATTGGGCGCGTCCAACCCGTGCGTGTACAAGGCATCGACCATGCGCCACAGTTCCTTGGGAATCTTCTGGACGACCGCCGCCTCGCGCTTGACGGCGCCGGCGTGGCGGATGGGCTCAACATGCACGACTAGCTGCTCCAGCGAACACCCAAAGCACGACCTAGTCAAGTCCACTCTATCAATCAATTCATACATTTCATACCCCACACTGGATTCACGTCTAACCGCCCAAGGACTAGTACTACATATACACCATCGTATTCGCATTCATAGGCTGCTTTTTTGTTGGCTATATATATATATATATAAGTCAAAGAATCGGTTCAACCATGCGAGTGGTCGCCAGTAGTAGAAACTAGGTAACATTGAATAATCCATGTGGCAAAACATCGAGTTTTGAAAGAATTAAAAAAAGCCAGAGTGTCCAACACTCCCGTTCCTTGTTAACTGTAGCCTCAGTATAAATGTATGAATGGTGATCAATCAAGCGTCGAAACAAGGTCCGTCCACCCACTCTGCGATATTTCGACTTTTCAGACATCCAAAAGTAATATACATTGTAAACCGATAAATAAGTAATATATATTGTAAACCGATACATTCTCGTACGGAAGGTAGTCGGCCGAGATGACGACGAAGTGGTCGGCGCCATTAGCCACGCGCAGAATGAGCGTGTCGTCCAGCGTATCGCGGCCACTCGAAAGCGCGTGCGCGGCATCCCCACCCACAAGCACCGTCACTTGGAGCTCCACTTGTTCCTTGGGCGGAATCATGCCATACATGGGCGATATACTTAACCACGGCTACATACATAACAATATCATTTCCTGATTCATTCTCATACAAAACGGTGGATTATATATATATATATATATATATCCTTGTACTACACATTTTGGACGAATTGCAATAGAAAATAATATTAATCTGTCACAGCAAATCCTCCAATGTCAAAGCATAAAGATACAGTACAAAAACTACCGAAAGACCGATCCTCATAGCCAGCTTACCAAGTGGGCATATATATATATATATATATATATATTTGGCATATATAAAGTAAAAATATCTATATATGGCATATATATATACCTTGGATACGGCCGAGTCGAGCAGTTTGGGCGCCAGTTGAAAGTGCGCGACGACCAGGCCCGAGTTTTCAACGACAATCGACTTGGTCTGTGGCACCAGGTACGTCACTTTGTCGAAATGCACCAAGTTGTTGTCGGAAATAGAAATCTAAACATTATTATTATATAATTAACATGAAATATCATGCTATTCTTGAAGATATGCTATCTTTGGCGAATGATACGATCAACCACCACCCATATAAGCAAGAACACCCAGAGCATTTCCAGCGACATTCGCTTCGTATCAACCAGGAAATGCATCAACACCCCATGGAATGTAACATTGAACCACCAGCATATATATATATATATATATATATATATATATAGACGGGATTCGATATACTTTTAACGATATATCTACAAAATCACATTGTGTGAGGGATGATCGATCACCTTGGGCTTGTTATCTGACTCCCACTTGTCCAGTTCGCGCGAGATTTCACGCTGCACGGCTTCCTTCTTGTCGTCCACTTCATATTTCACCTACCATATCCATAAATATATATATATACGATCTTTTACGACGCTGCTTATATATAATATATATCCAACAAAACCAAATACCCATTATCATCACCATCATCCAATCACCCATGTACGCTAGCTACCTCCACGTCACCAGTACATACACACTCGTGCCAACTAGGAATACACAAACAATAGTCCAAATATTCCATATATATATATATATATATATATATATATATATATATATATATCACCTTGAGATGGAACAGCGCCGCGACAGGCTTGTGGTCCGACATGTCGAGCTCCATGGCGGCGCCATAATGCTGCAACGCCACCGTGTCGGCCTTGGCTTTCCACAAGATACGATCGCACCTACTCATGTTTATATTTAAAAATACAAAAAAATATATATCCTTTCCAGTTGCTCCAGTCGTTGCTCACAAACGTACCACGCCGGCGCGCGCACTTTTTTCTCGGGTCGGCGGTCATATAACGACGTACCCGCCTGGAACTTGTACGTAGGTGCAAACCTAATCGGCCCTTCTTCAAACCCGTGGAACACATTGCCTTTTTCCCGTTCTTGGGTCAACTACACACAACAATAGATGCTTAATATATATATATTTATGAAAAGAAATCATGGCAACCTTTGCACAAACGTCAAATATATACTGGGGGGTCCTTGGTATTCCGAATATAATTATTTAAAACCTTCTCTTTATCTATATATATATATGCCAATATTTCGATGGATTTGAAGACATTCGCAAGATATATATATATATATATATATATA